AGGATTGTTGATATCTTAGATGCTGTTGCCGTGACAACGCATCAAACTTTAATATTCTTTTTGGATACTTTTGAGACTCTCAGCGCACTTTTGGGGCCCTTAACATGCTCAAAAACTCTTGAAACTTTGCACACGGGTCAGAACCCGCGGCCATCAGGGCCGGGCTGAAGCTGGTACCCGGGCGTGGCAGGGGGGCTCGACAGCGCCCCCTGGAACAGGGTCCGAAAACTTGGTCCATAAATCAAACACGCTTGAATGTAATAATATGAAACTCGGTACACATATAGATCTCATCGATTCATATATCCTTTGTACTTTTACTTTTTACCCCAGCCCAACAGGAAGTCGGCTATTATGGTTTGTTTGGAAGCGTATGCCCCTGGAATTCGATATACTCCTCCTAGAGAATTCAACCAATCGCCACGAAACTCGGTCAGCATGAAGTCAAGACATTGAGGATGAAAAGTTGCCAGGGGATTTTTGATATCTCGAACGGTTTGGCCGTGGCGAGGAAACGAATTTATGGCGAATAAAGGAAACAGGAAGTGTGTTATAACTTCTGCATACATTAACTGATCTTGATGAAACTTCAGCAGTGTGTTCGCTGTAAGAGTCCGATCACATGGATGTGACTATTGTGAGTCAAAGTTATAGCGCCACCAACTGGCAGCAGGAAGTGTGTCACTTCCTAAAGGCTTTGAAATCACCCTCTTATTTTTACCCAATTTGCTTCAAACTTTATGTGTATAATGTAGACACACGGCAGATGTAGACCTGAGAAAGGATTATTGATATCTTAGATACTGTTGCCGTGGCAACGCATCAAACTTTATTATTCTTTGTTGATGCTTTTGAGACTCTTAACATACTTGAAATTGCATGAAACCCGACAGACACATCACATTTATTAGACAGTAGACATGTGCAGAGTTTCAGAAACGGGCGTGGTGAGGGGCTCAGTAGCGCCACCTTTTGTCAAAAGTGGGGGGATTGATTTTATCTACAGTAATAAAAATCGGTATGTGTATTGTTCTCCTCCAGCCAGACAACTTTCTAATTTACACTCAATAGCTCCAACCAACAGGAAGTCAGATATTTTGGTTTGAAAATTGTCATTTTATGTCTCTCTCTCTCTGAGCCTACGTCTATGTGTGTGTGTGTGTGTCTGTGAGTGTGGGGAGGGGGAGGGGGGCTAGATTAACCATTTGACTGCTGTGTGGTTTGGCCTGCATTAAAAAAGAAAAAAAAAATGTCTTACGCCTTGTATTTTTTAAATAAGTTGTATTAATAAGTAAAGGCATATAACCAGTTGAATTGTAGTGCATTGAAAATAGTTTTATATAATTAGTTTATTAATTAAATTAACTTGGTCAGAAAATTTGGTCCATAAATCAAACACACTTGCATGTAATATTATGAAACTCTGTACACATATAGATCTCATCGGGCCAAACAACTTTAAGCCAGCCCAACAGGAAGTGGGCTATTTTGGTCTTAATGTGGATGTTTTGCAAAACCAGGCTCTACATTTTTACCCACTCCTCTTAAGTGGTTTATTTTATTCCCACCAAACTTTTTCAACATGATGAAAATACATTAAAGAAGCATAATTGTGAATATCTATTGAATATCTCTAATTGTTTTGCTATGGCGAGGGATTAAAGTCATGTAAAAAAAAATAAACACTAAAAGCCTCATATCTTCTAAAAATTTAATTATACACCATTTATTTCTAGATAAAATTATACAAATATCAGAACTAAACCCATTTTATTCTTGTTTTCAATTTAAGAATAATGTACAAGTTTAAAAACAGCCAGGATGCACTATTCAGTTAAAAAATAAATATATCAAATAATACATAGGGCTATACTGCCCTCTTGTGTTCAAAATCAGGTAGGCCTGTTGTATTTAAATATAGGTAGCTGCTATGTGACTCCGAGAATTTTTTCTCACCGGTTATTTGACGTGTAACACCGGGGGCTTTTATATCGCTAAGTTAAAAGTGAAAGTAAAGTAAGGACATTTATAGTGGTGGCGCTCACAGTGCGCTCGAATGAATTTCTATGGAAGTAGAAATGAAAAAACGTTCGCTCTGTTTTGCTCGCTCGTCGCCATGGACGCGCACCGTAATGAATGCCACTGCAGCCGCATACTTTTTAGTGTCACTTTAAAATTAGTGCAATATCGGGGGCCAATTGCTTGAATTGTGAGTTCAATAGTCTATTATTTTTCACGGAAAACACAACAACAAAAGAGTCCAATGATAGATTCGCTTAAATAGGCGCTTTTACATAAAATAGCCTATTCCGTCATCATCTTTTCAGTCAGCTCTTCACTCTCGTGATTAATGAAATTTGACTCCTGTTGCTGATATTTGCTGCAACTTTCGTTCTGCTCACAATTTAGTAAGCAAACACGCTTCAAATGTGTTTTTATTTTATTTTTGTGTGTATATATGTGTGTATATATATATATATATAGCTTATGTTTCAAATATGAGTTAATTAACAATCGTTTGAAAGAATGATACTTTTAAACATATCACTAAGCCGTCATTAGGTGTCGCCAGGCGACCGTCTTAATGAGCGAGTCATTGATTCATTTGTTCGAACGATTCGTTCGAACGGCTGAGTCATTCATGAATGAGACAGATTATGGATTGGTCATTGAATCTTTGAGTCAACCGATTCGTTCAAAATGCTGAATCATTCAGTAATGAGAAAACACGTTGCTGTGAGATGCTCGATGGTTCTGCTGTGATCTTTGTTTAGCTAGTTTCGCTGCTGAAACAGAAAAAAAGTCAATATTGCATCTAAAATGTAAGTGATTTGACTTGTGTGTGTGTGTGTGATTGTGTGTGTGATTGTGTCTGTTACAGTGATAAGAGTTTAACCCTTGTTAAACTTTAGACCTTGTCTTTTTGGATATATATCTTTTTATATTAAAAAATAGTCATACAACCCATATATTTTAAATGTATTGTTTGCTTTAAATTACATTAAGATTGTATGTTTGGTAATCGAACCTAAATGAATTTTACATGAATGTGCTATATTTCAGATCATATATTTGTTTTCCTTAAAATTTGAACTAACACTAACTTTATTCTCATCTGAATGATAGATTATTTATTTCTGTATAAAATAAAAACACCTTTGATTTTTCTTTTTTAATCAATGTAGAATGTGTAACTGAAAAAATAAACAGATTAGGGCTCTGTTTGATGACAAGAAATGAAAACCAATGCGATATGATGAATGTCCAAAAGATGGCTCCCACAGACTGTTTTTAAATAGGATTGTTTGATATTTTTTGCTTTTAAACTGTGTGTGTGTGTGTGTGTGTGTGTGTAAGAGATTTTGGTTGGGTGACAGTTGTAGTTTACAGTTTGACAAGAGTTTATAGTTTGACAAAAGCACAATGTTGTGTTTTATTGCGAGTGTACACAAATATAAGTAAACACTTTGCAGTTTGAATAATGTCCTGTATGAACAAAAGGACGGAGTATGTCTTTATGTCTACATTGTTCAATTACGCCACACACACACACACACACACAAACACTATTTTTCTAATCAGATCAGGCAAGTAATATTCTGTCTTGTCTCTTAAAAAAACAATATATATATATTTATGTATATATATATATATATATATATATATATATATATATATGTGTGTGTGTGTGTGTATATATATATATAAATATAGCTGCGAGCAGCGTGAAAGGGCCAAAGCCGGCGGCACCGCCACCCCGGTTATAGCGCCACCAACTGGCAGCAGGAAGTCTGTCACTTTCAAAAAGCTTTGAAATCACCTGATTGCTTCAAACTTCACTACTATGATGTAAACACACGGCAGATGTAGACCTGGATGTAGACCTGACCTTTCAGAAGGTTGCTCTCGCATACTTTGTGGTTGATATGTGCCCTCGATGCACACTTTTGCAGAGCCCACACTGATACAAGCTCTACAGCACACTTCTTTTCGACAGTCAAAGCAGGGTTACGTTTTTGCACGTCGTGCACAATAACCCTAAAGGCACCAGGGTGGCGGTGCCACCGGCTTTATATATATATATATATATATATATATATATAAATAAATATAGCTGCGAGCAGCGATGAAGGGCCAAAGCCGGTGGTACCGCCACCCCGGTGCCTTTAGGTAACTAAAGGCACCGGGGTTGCGGTGCCACCGGCTTGGGCCCGTAATCGCTGCTCGCAGCTATATTATTAGTTTTGAGTCTTTTATTTTTAATAAAAAAAAAAAAAAAGTCAGGGACCGTAAAGCAGTGGCATTAGCAAAATCACAAAATAGAAAATATCATAATTGCTTTCATTTTTTTTTTTTTTTTTTTTTTGGTGTGCACCAATAACACATGGCTATTTAATAGCCTATATTGAACTTCCTCATACCATGATATGCAATTTTATAACTATCGTCCAACCATAACATATTCATATTAGTTTTAATATAAAATTATTTTCTTATATAACTAACAAATCTCCCACAGAAGCCCTATTTCCAGTGTGAAAAAAAAAAAAAAACATCCCATGGATTATCGAGTTAAGATGAGCCTGATGGTCATGTCCAGAGATGTTGTTTTATGTAATCTTGAATGTTAACATGAACATTGCATGATCGTAAGATGATTCAATCTGTATGTGTGTGTTTTTTTTTTTTATTGCTCAGTGTATGAGTTTGTGAAGGAGGAAAGCTTTTTGGTAGTCTAATGGTTAATGTGAGATTTAGCAGAAGCGCGAGAGAGGGAGAGATTAAGCCCTCCACTAATCCCATTGGACTCCAGAGAGAGAGAGAGAGAGAGAGAGAGAGAGAGAGAGAGAGAGAGAGAGAGAGAGAGAGAGAGAGAGAGAGAGAGAGAGAGAGAGAGAGAGAGAGAGAGAGAGAGAGAGAGAGAGAGAGAGAGAGAGAGAGAGAGAGGGGTGTGTGAAAAATAAAGTTGGGAGGAGCAGGAGGGGCGTATCTTTGATGCCCAGTGGTCACATGACTGTTTACACTGTGAGAGAGGAGGCATGTGTGTGAAGAACAGCAGAAACTCAAAAGAAACGGCCCTCACATAAACATGTAGGATATCTCACACACACACACACACGCACACAAAGGCAACAGCAGGATGGACCAGAGAGTTGAACACAGTTTGTATCCCCCCGAGGGCCAGCCCAGCAGACCCAGAGATGTACTGGTGAAGTCAGGTAAGACAGAAACACCAGACTGTGGCTGAGATTACAGGATGCTGAACTGATGATGCTGTATTGTGCAGGAAAACCCTACTAGGGGTCTGTATTTGAATACCAAGGATAAGATAGCAGGAATTCATAGATTTGTTGTATTCATTAATTTCAGTGTATTATTACTATGTAACAACTCAGTTGCAATGTAGTAATAACAGATGAATAAACTGTTTTATATCAAGATACATTCACACTGATGCATTTGTTATAAAAAAAAAAAAAAAAAAAAGAAGATCTCTGCCTGCTTTAAACTAAAAATTCCTGTTTTTAGGGTCAAATGTATAATGTTTTTAAGAACAAGCTGGTGTAGTATATAAAAGACAAACTAAGAAGGCAAAATAACGACATTAATGACACTTAAAGAAATCAGTTTGGTGAGAAACAGGGCACCAAACATGCTGAGCAACTGTGAGGCAACAACTTCAACAACTCTTTGATTGCCATTATATGCACCATTTGACATTTTCTGAATTGTATTTTTGTCAGCTGGTGGAAAACTTGTGGCAATTTTTAGGTGTCAGTAACATAGGTTAAGTGACAAGAAGGATCATCTTTCACAATTTTGTTGTTGTAATGTTTTACCAGCAGTATCTTCCTTTATGTTTGTTTTAGCTGAAAAGCGCAAGGTCCACGATGTATTTCTGCCCGACCATGATCGACACCAATAAACCCTGCTTTGTGTATTTGAACAGTTATCTTAAATCATCCATCTCAGAATACCCAGCTTTTAAACAAACACGCCTTTCACCAACATATCTGGGAAGTCTATTAAGCAATTTCTATGTGAATTAAACCTCAAAGGGAAAGTCATAATGTTGTTCCAAATCCGTATTTTTTTCCAAATCCTTTCTTTCCGGTGTGAAACACAAAAGAATATATTTTGAATAATGTTTAACTTTTTTTGCCCATGAAATGGAGGTCAGTGAGGTCCAAAACATCATTGCACCACACTGACTTTCATTGTATGTGTTTATCCAAATATATGTTTGTGTTTTCTACAGAATAAAGAGTTGTGTAGTTGATTGCCATTAGAAATGCACCATTTGACATTTTCTGAATTGTATTTTTGTCAGCTGGTGGCAAAACTTGTGGCAATTGTTTCCAAAAAAAAAACGGTTCAAATAGACTAAAAACTGTTCAAATACACTAAAAAACTGTTCAAAAAGACTAAAAAAACTGTTCAAATACACTAAAAAACTGTTCAAAAAGACTAAAAAACTGTTCAAAAAGACTAAAAAACTGTTCAAATAGACTAAAAAACTGTTCAAATACACTAAAAAACTGTTCAAATACACAATTCTCTTATTTTCTACAGAATAAGAGAATTGTGTAGTTCCACAAGAGTGGAAAAAAAATGACAGAACGTTCATTTTTGAGTGAACTATCCCATTCTATTATATTATATTCAAGTATACTGACATAAAATAGCTCAGGAAAAAGAGCATGATCCACGTTAGTCATAGAAACTCTTTTTATTTACTCTTCCAGTCTAGATTTAGATGCTTGAAATAGGTTATATTGTGCTATTGTCCTTAGAGACTGCTGCGTTGTTTCTTGCTGGGCACCTTTATAATGCTAATTCCCTGTCTGAGAGCTGTGCCTAAATTTTATGGCTTGCCAAGGACTAGTATTCAGCAGGGATTATGGGAAATGGCACCGCACTTCCACACAAACACACCCACCCATGGGAGAATGGGATCCCAGGGCATCCTCTGAGAATGCTGACGTCGCCATGACAACTGTCACCATTCTATTTGTATACAATCCAATGTGGGAACAAACTAACTTCTTATGTAACAGGGGATTTTTGTTGTTGTTGGGATTCAGTTTTTAAGACTGAATGCCTGGTGATCAACAAGACAATACACTGAATTTGAAGTGATGCAGAGGAATCTAAACTGTGCTGCCAGTATTGCCTTAAAGGGATAGTTCACGCAAAAATGAAAATTGTCCTATAATGTACTCACCCTCAAGCGAAGCCATCCTAGGTGTATAAGACTTTCTTCTTTCAGCCAAACACAATCTGAGTTAAATTGTAAAATATCCTTGCTCTTCCTAATGGGAGTGAATGGTAACTGACGTATCCAAAAAATGTATTTTTTCCCAGACCGCAACATAGTGTCGGCCCAGATCCGGCCCACATCTGGTACACATGGATTCCACACGGCCCAGATGTGGGCCGGATCTGGGCAGACACTATGTTCCTGTCTGGGTTGTAAGAAAAATATCGATATTTATAACTTTATAAACTATAATCTCCTGGCTTCCTGTAACGTTCGTCTGCGAGTCTAGTTCCGGTGGAAGAGTGACCTCTGACCCCATGCATGACGTAGGATGTAGGAGTAGCGTAAGTTTAGGTGAGAGTAAATGGCTCTAACGGTTCAAACAAACAGGGCTGGGCAACAAACTCAAGCTCCCACATTTCTCTTTAAAAAAATCTCGTTTTAGACTTCTAATTTGTGAGCGGTGTTTTGTTTTGCTTGATCCTCCGCGCTTCCGCGTTCATCTATACGTCATGCGTCGGGTCAGAGGTCACTCTTCTGCCGACTTGCGTGCAGATGTTACCAGAAGCCAGTCATTATAGATTATAAAGTTATAAATATGGATATTTTTCTTACAAAAACACAACGCTAAGTTTCAGAAAGCCTGGGAAGAACCTGGATATTTTTTAATATAACTCTGACTGTGTTTGGATGAAAGAAGAATGTCTTATACACCGAGGATGAAACACCTTTGACTTTTTTTCTTTTCTTTTTATGTAATCCAAAATGAATTCAGATTCTTAAGGCACATTTTGGAATGTTTTTGATTGGAAAAATGTGTTCTTTTTAAATGCTAAAATAATCCAAATTCTCTTCAAAATAATAGTGGATATCTGTTCATACTCTGCTAGGACACCTGTGTGATTCTGAGGGGAAATGACTCCATACATCCACTGAATATCAAAGAAAAGTGCAGTTCTGAGAGCATCATTTACGGCATTTTGCCACTTCGTCTGGTGTTTTGTAATCTAAAGCAATGCAATTTTGAAATGATCAAAAGTGTCCAAATACTTTTTTTAGGGCCATTGTTTTTCATAGTGCCATGGCACTGTACTTTCTTGAAGGGGTTAGCATATTAGCACACTTTTAATTTTAGTAGTCCTACTGAATCACTTTTGGTTATGCTGGGTATATAAGGAAACACTGCTGTAACCACACAAAATCGAATTAACCCCACAATCTATCATGCAATTCTTGGAAATAGACTCAGATCTGATCAGCAGAAGCCCTTGCCTTTCCTGTCTGTGTGACTCCAGGGTTTGTGGGGGATGCTGATAAATACATTATGCCCGTAATAGAGGGATATTCACTTTCAGAGCAGACACAGTCCTCCGTCTGTTGCTCTTCACCATGTTACTGATCCCTAATCGATGAGATCAAGGACAGGCTTCCAGAGGCACAGATTATGTAGCAATACAAAACATTTTGTAGAGCCTGTGTATATGTGTAAGTACTTTTATCCCATATTGAATTCTATCTGTAAGCTCTGGATAAATACACAGAAATCATTTGTATTTCATAACCATGAATTGGGACGCAACATTCTCGCAGCACATAACATTGAAGTGGGCCACACAAATGCTCACACAGTTTACTCAGTTAACAGACATTGCAACACATTAATTTGCAAAAAAAAAAAGCAATATTTGCAAACACAAACATGAAAAAAAAAAAAAATGAAACATATTCTGGTGATGTTAGATCACTTGAAATCTACTTCACTGTCTCACAGAGACAGATGTTTTGGTAACACTTTACAATAAGATTCATTAGTTAACATTAGTTAATGTTTTAACTAACATGAACTCACAATGAGCAATACATTTGTTACTGTATTTATTAATCTTTGTTAATTTTAGTTGATAAAACTACAGCTGTTCATTTAATAACATATTAATAAACACTCTAAAAATGCAGAGTTGTTTCAACCCATGTTTGGGTCAAATATGGACAAACCTAATCGTTGGGTTAAAAAATTAATTAAAATTTTTTAACCAATGGCTGGGTTGGCTAACCCAAACATGGGTTGAAACAACCCAGCATTTTTTAGAGTGAATGTTAAAAATTAATATTAACTAAGATTAATTAATGCTGAAGAATTATTGTTCATTCTTAGTTCATGTTAACTAAAGTTGTTAATGAAACCTTATTGTAAAGTGTTACCGATATTTTTTAGTAATAATTATGTAAATTTTCATATTTCATATGACTTTATTTTTATTATTCTTACATAAGCCCACATACTGTGTAGACTCTCTGGCTTCCATGTGCCAACACGCTCTCTGACCAGACAGTGCTTATGGATTCATAATCCTCATAAACACGAAATATCTCTTTTAATGGATCAACAGCATTCAGTATGAACAAAATAAGGTCCATATCAGTGATGTTATTCCAGTGGATTGTGAGAGATTTACTTTTGGCATAATTTTTTTTCTGATGCATATGACATTTTCATATTTTAGCTAAATTTAGTTTATCTTTTGCTGTTAGGGGAAGTGAAAACAACAAATTCGAGAGCAGTTGTCAACCGTGCGATATATAAAACTTATGTAGATCTAAAACTAGATTTTTCCATTTTCTGAAAGAAAATGTGGTGTTTGTCCCTAACAAATGCACTGCCGTTACATGCTTATCATGCTTATCATTAATATGTAGCATGAAGTGCTATGAAGTGAAGTGAAACGTATAGTACTTGGATGGTTTGTTCCCTTACAGAGAGTATGAGCAATAACAATAGTGATAAAATAAACTGAGAATATAAGAAAAGGTCTTTAGTTTATAACTTAATACTTAGAAGAATATAGGTTTTAAAAAAGGGCGGAAACTTTATTTACTTGTTTGAAAAAAATCTTTGGTGTAAACTTGCTAACCTCTGGGCTACAAATACTTTCACATGCATGAATTCCCTTCATCATCTTACCTGTCATCATCAACATCAGTTCACCCCCGTCCTCTTCTCATGCACTCTGATTGAGAAGTGCTAAGAATTGAGCTCAGCTTTTTTAATATTGAATGGTGGAGACTGTCTCTGGTTCCTCCTCCAAGCATAGCATTGTTCTGAGCAAGCTTCAATGCATATGACACCTGATCCGCTGTCACTTTAGCACGGATCACTGCACTTTTAATCTGTCCTATCCTGAGAGGAGTGTCTTTATGCAGTTGAGCTGGCTTGCATTATGGATCTGGGTACAAGTTTGTTCTTTAGTGGTGATGAAGAATTACAAACTTGTCTGAACCAGTACTATTTAATAACCTCCTACTTTTCTAAACATACTACACTGAATTGTCTTTCTTTTTCTTTCTCTCGTTTGATTTTTTGGGGGGGGGGAAATGTGCCAGAGTGTGATATTTAGTCAATTTCAGGGGAACAAGAACACAAGTGCAAAAAAGATTATCTTTGGGGTCAGGTATAGGTAGAAAAGATCATTCGCATCAGTGCTTCGTCTGTGTGTGATGGTGTGTAAGAGGTCTGGTGGTGTAAAAATTCTCCAAATAGCTGGAGGAAATGAAGGTAAGGAATTTCCTCCCAAACCCAGAGGAACGTAAACACTCTGAATGTCCACCTGCTACTTTCAGGAAACCTGCTTCGGCTCACATGGAATCATTTAAACTGGAGCAGAGACAAGTAGTGTATGTAGTAGTGTATGTAAATGCTGGCTCTCTGATGTGGGTTGTTTATGCTCCACCACCCCACTTACCGCTGTTTCTTATGTTCTTCTTTTGCGTCAATCTCTGCCCCGCAGTTAAAAGAAGTCAGGAAGGGAAACGTTACTTCCTTTCAATAAAATCCTTCCTCTCACATTGTTTTCTCTCTGTTCTCAGCCTCAGCGTATGCCGATATTCAATGGGAACAGCCTCATCAGCCGAGAACCCCGGAGAGGGATCCATTTGGTTACCCTCATCGCGAGATCCCCCCATTGGCCAGTTACACTCCTCAGCCTGATTACATGACAGCGGATGATGATCTCATCAAACCCAAAAAGCTGATTAATCCTGTGAAAGCCTCTAAAAGCCACCAGGAGCTTCATCGGGAGTTGCTTATGAACCAAAAACGGTATGAGAATACACAGTGTACAGTAGACTTGTAGTCAAGACTGCCTAAACCGAGACCAAGACACTACCAAGACCAGAGGGTATCGAGACCAAGACAAGACCAAGACCGAGACCCAGTCGAGACCAAGACCGAGACCGGAGGGGGGAAAAAACTAGTGTTTTTTCTCTAGTGTGGTTGGGACTAGTGTTGTTGAAGCTAAGCAATAACTTGTAAGATTTTGTTTTGCATTGCCTGCCTATCTCTGCCGATTTCGAAGTCTCCAAATGAATCCATTCTGCAACTTTTAAATACATAAATATATTTTTTAAAACGAAATTATAAGCTAAAATCCAGGATCCGAAAGTTGGTTGTTTTGTCGCTATGGTTACACACACACACCGTTGGCGGTGCGCTCAAAGTCATCTGTCAGTTGTGCAGTTACCCAAAATCTCCTGAATGAAGTTAAAACCAATCATGTCACTGATATGTGTTTTACTAAATATTAATACATCAAAAACTGTACATGATATGTGTTTTTAAATCAAGTGATCAAAGTGCTCATTGCCGCTGCGATCAGTGGCGCGGATACGGCTCGCGCACCGCACTGTCTTCACTCGGACGCGCACTTTAAATTCGTTGCGGATATCGTCGTGGATGTTGATATTGCTAAATCCCCCGACCACTATGTTGGTCTGAGACAACGAGACCTAGGGTGTACTCACACTAGCCAGTTTGAACTGTGCCCGAGTGCGTTTGACCACCAAAGCGCGGTTCGTTTGACTAGTGTGAGTGCTCCGAACCGTGCCCAGGCGCGGCTCGATTAGCCGGCCCTGGCCCGCTTGGAAGAGGTGGGCCAGAGCACGGTTCGGTTGGACTCGGGCGCGGTTCGCATGCAGTGTGAGCGCTAACCGTGCTGGAGCACGGAACAGGACGCGTGGCGTCATGGTTTTGCGACGCTCCAAAAACCAACACAGTCCGTAATCAAAGCTGCAAAGTCCTTGCTGCACTTCAGCTGGTACCTTGCAAACCTCCTCATACGAGCAGCACGATTACGTGAAAATTTTCGCGCCACTAAAGCGACGCATCTGTTTAACAACAGGCTGTGAGAGGGCTGTGGACCACCGTGGACCAAACGACACAAAATTATCCACAAAGAAAACAGAGCGATGGACTCCATTGTGTTCAGAGAGCGCCGCTCTTCTTGTTTATCCTGAAACCGTCGCACGCACCATAATGACGTAAGCGTGCTCCGGCACGAATGCTGAAACCCTATGTGAGTGCAGGCCAGAGGGGGAGTGGGGAGGGGGGACAATCGTACTCAGGCCCGGTTCATGGCAACCGTGCCTAGTGTGAGTACACCCCTAGACAAGACCGAGAGGTCCGAGACCAAGACAAGACCAAGACCAAAGACCGTCAAGACCGAGACCATGTAAAAGTGGTCTCGAGACATACATCACTAGTGTACAGTACATTCACACTCATCTGCTAAATGACAAGTTATACTCAAAAACAGCATGAGGAAACAGATGTTTCTGGGGGTATACAGTAGGTGATGTAGCATGTACCAGATGTGGGCCGGATCTGGGCCTACACAATGGTGTTGTCTGTGTTAACAATGTAACAAAGTTAAAAGCTCAGGAAAGACGGAGGCAGGAACTGGTGATCATTTAACATAGCTTTAATAATAAAACAAACAACAAAACGGAAGTAAAGCGGCAGCCCCTCAGGGACAACGGCCACATTCATAGTTACATGTTACATCTCTAAATTCATGGAATGGCACAGTTTAAAATAATAGCAGATTTGTTTTATTTTAAATTAACACTAAAAACTAAGATGAAAAATTAACTTCAGAAAGAAATGTACTTTTGCTATGGTTAAATAAATGTTCAGTGATATATTTCAAAAATTCTTGAATTTTTTCACTCTATATAGTGTTGATATGGCAACTAGTAAATACGTAAGTAAATAAATAAACAAGTTATGTCACGCTAGCATGTTTGGAAACTTTTAAAACATGTTAGTTACAACTAGCTTATGACAGATAATCAGAAGTCCGTTAGTTTGATCCCAACCAAATGCGAGACATGAGTTATCAACTCTGTGCTCCTGAGCTAGATATTTAACTCTAGGTTGCAGTCTGTAATACATGTTTTGTAAGTCGCTTTGGATAAAAATGTCTGCTATTTGACAACTTACAGGTAAACGCATAAGTCACATAGCTTACAGTTCAACCAGAGCTGGAGATTAGGAGATGTTGATCCTGGAACAACCAATCAGGACATATAAGTTAGGGTTAGGGTTAAGGTTTAGAGATTTAAACAACAGTAGTATCAACCTTTTTTCCCTCTGATTTTACGGCTTGTTAATTTGCAGTGAAGGAAATGCTTAGGGACTGTGTTTTTGGACAGGACAAACATGTACTGGTATGATGGTCACTAGTTGGCTACTTACTTTCTCAGCACATCTGGACAGGTTTTAGTTGATATTGTGAAAATGTTTTGTTATTTTGAACAACCCTATGACCCATATGACTTAATGGTAACACTTTATTTTGATGGTCCCTTTTGAACATTCTGTTGACTATAACTTTGCAACTACATGTCAACTAACTCTCATTAGAGTATTAGTAGACTGTCTGCTTAATATTTGCCAACTCTTTATTGTTATGGCCCCCCTACTGACTATAAGTAACTTTGCAACTACATGTCAACTAATGCTGCGTTCCAGGCAGGTTTTTGAGCACGTAAATCACGACTTCAAACCACGACTCACGACTTTGTAGCATTCCAGGCCAGTCACGCCAAACTACCTGAGCGCAATATGTATACTTATTTTTTCAGACACATAACATTGTAATACATAATCTTGTGTGTATTATTATCATTATTATTATATTATTATTAATTTGACTGCAACGTTATATTGTCCTAAAGTGTATTCTCACTGTGTACCGCCTGCAGAAACACTGCATCCGTAGGGGCTGCCATTGTTGTTTTGTATGGTTTTGCGGGCTATGTGACGTCAGAACCCGTAACTGGGAGTACATCGATCTAGTACGAGTTCACGGGTGGGAAGTCACGGGTTTGACTGCCGTTCCAGTGCACTTTCACGGGTATAAGGTTGGAAAAACACGGGTTACAGGTTGCCTGGAACGCGGCATAACTCTCATTTGAGTATTAGTAGACTGTCTGCTTAATATTTGCCAACTCTTTATTGTTATGGCCCCCCTACTGACTATAAGTAACTTTGCAAATACACGTCAACTTATTCTAACCCTAACCCTACCAGTCCACTAATACTCTACTAATAAGAGTTAGTAGACATGTGCTATAGGTGCAACGTTACTTATAGTCAACAGAATGTGTTAAAGGGACCATCAAAATAAAGTGAAACTGACTTAATAATTTCATTACTTTTTGTTGTTTTCTGCAACAATAAATCAGTAACCAAAAAATACAATTCTCCAAGTACTGAAACAGAGGGTCTTTTTGGTCTTCAGTCTGTGCTAGCACTTTGATTAGCATTGCTTAGTAATGTCACCCCCCACTTCTATAATACCAGTAAATGTGGTAAAGATGAACACACTCCCTCTGTCTTAGCAGAGGGGTCTAAAGCCCTCAGGAGTGGCAACAGAGCCCCTTTATCCTTCCCCCTCTCTCCTAGACACTTTAGAGGAGGTTTAAGATTTAAAGAACGCAAGGCTCAGCCAATTAAGAGATATAGTGTTCACATCTCACGAGGGTCCTGCATTGTGTTTTCACACAGGGGAAATGAGCACTTATCTAAAGTGGCCAACGATAGAGCTTTGCTGTTTATGCCGCGATCCTGTGACACAGCAAACCCAAGAACATAGAGTGCTCTTGAGTGCGTTGTCATTTTCAGCTGTGAGATTTTAGGCAGAAACAGGTCTGTAGTGCACAACAATGTTGGAGAGTAATTAACTAAGTCCACGTACATATTGTGGTTGTCACTCCTCTTCATAATCTTGTTCTGTACACAGATTTTGGTCATCCATGCAAGTATTAAGTGCATGGCAGTATGTAGCCTAAAAGTAGCTTCGCTAATTTGTACTGCGATTAAACATCACATTCTGAATTGGGCAAATGCATTCTGATTGCATTCTTGTAGTGTAGCTATAAATACTTTTTTTTGCTTGCAGCTATTGGTGCATTCAAATCATGTTGGAATGATTGTATTTGCAAGTTGATAACAATGAAAACAAACAAAGAATAACAATTTGTTTGATTTATCATAATGTATTCTAATTATAATGTTGATGTGGCCATTTTGTTTGTAGCCCAGTTTTATAGCTAGCCAGAGCTCATTCAGCTGGTTTATGAGGAAACAAATTTGAGTAAATACAATTTCCCATCATTCTCTGTGACAATACCAAAATGATCAACTACAGATATAAAGCATTAATTAAACATCTAATATGAATATTTTTGGTAAAACTTTATATGTATTAACAGACTGTTAATATCTGCTAACTCTTTATTGTGATGTTCCTCCAACAGGCATTCTACTGACTATAAGTAACTTTGCAACTACATGTTAACTTACTAACCCTACCAGTCCACTAATACGCTGATTTTACGCAGCCGCCATTTTGAAATCGAAAGCGAGGCTCCGGTGGGAAGAACCCCGGAAGTACAGATAGACAACAATGCCTTGGACTACCAACCTGAAGCTGCTGCCGCGATTTACACTATTGGATGTTAATATCCAATATAGGATATGTATATAGTTCGTTCCTGCTTCTTTTTTTTACGTTCTGAATTATATATAAAAAAAAAACAATTTTATTTATAAATGAATTTCACTATATATAGTCTAAAGCAGTGGTTCTCAATTCTGGTCCTATAGGGAGCCACTGCTCTGCACAGTTTGTATGTCTCCCTCATTTAACACACCTGATTCAGATCATCAGCTCGTTAGGAAAGAGCTTTATTAACTGAAGTGGGTGTGTCAGATAAAGGAGACATATAAAATGTGCAGAGCAGTGGCTCCCTAGGACC